GTAGTCCAAATGTTTGGAAATGCATGTATCTATAATAAGAAGATGAATCCACGAGGATGTCAACAATCCGATGGGAGCCATCAGGGAAGTAGTATGATGAGAGTCAGGCAGGACCACAGTGACAGGTTCAACCACGACTCGAAGTCCAGGACTCAGGACTCAAATCCAGACCTCAGGATAGAGGATCCAGGACACACATTTTTTCCGAAATAAGGTCCCATGGGTCGGAAGTAGATGGGCGGGACTTCGCCTCTCTATACATGTGTGTTTACACTGCTCTGTTGTCCATTGACTTCCGGTAAAAGTTCCTTCAAAATAAGAGTCCCGATCTTATTACTATCAAANATTTTGCATGGTAAGTAGCCATGTGCTTTCTGGGGCTTAATCTCTATTGATATAATGTAAACATTCACTATAGTAATTGTGGCATCCCCGGCTGAATGATGGTCAGACTCTCCAACTGATGGTATCTGTTTATTGCATACCCTTGCTTGTATACAATCATTACCAACGTAAGAGCTTGTGCCCTTATCAGCCAGGTGCTAAAAACCCAATGTAACTATTTAGTATATGTTAATGTATTGTCATCTATCTGTCATTATACATGTGTGTTTACACTGCTCTGTTGTCCATTGACTTCCGGTAAAAGTTCCTTCAAAATAAGAGTCCCGATCTTATTACTATCAAAATAAAAGTGCAAAACGAAAACTTTACCATAGGAAAATATTGGCGTACAAATATAATCACTTCTCTAAAAGGTAACTCATTTTAAATATAGTTAATAATAATAGTAATAATAGTAATATTAATGAGCTTTATATTTGTATAGCACCTTTTATACAAGAGTTGTAGCCAAACTCGCTTCACAGCAGTTCAATAGACAGATTAGTATAACATGACAGGATAAAAGCAATGTAGAGGAGCAGCTATACATTTAAACACATATATCCACGAAGATTAATACATGAAGACTTGTGACTCGGACTCGAACACAGGTAATGATGACTCGGACTCTCCTTGGGTGACTCGGACTTGACTCCGACTCTCCCTAGGTGACTTGGACTCGAAAAGTGGGGACTCGAGAGTGACTTGGACTCTTGAATTGGTGACTTGACTACAACACTGATTTGTGCAGATCTCCAGCCTTGACTCCTACAGGCCAAGTGGTTAAGGCCAGGCAAAGGGTGTTTTTCATGAACTCATCAATTTTTATATTTTGGCCTTTTTTCCATCTTTTAACGTAGAAAATGCACATTTAGTTTTTTTATTTGCTAAATGTGTCTATCTACGTGTGTAGATATATCTTTAATTCACAAAAGAAAAGCACAGTAAACCCTTTTTACCCTATTCACCTGTAGTGTCTTGCAAAGTGTACAGAATTTCACATTATATAACTTTAAAGGCGGTTTTCTAGAAATTAGTTTTTTTGTACTTTAAGCCATAAATCTCCAGTTAAATAGATCTCTATAGTATAATTATTCTTTTTTGAACTGAGAGCATAGTTTACATGGGGGCAGACCTAGGACCAGGTGGAAAAACAGTTCAATTTGTTTTTTAAATAGCTGTAGGGAGGGACATTACTGACTGTATGATACTGCTTCTTTGCCTTTCTGTGTATTTGTTTGCATCTAACGACTGGATTGGATCTTTTGGTCTGAGGAGAGCATAGGCAGTTCTTCCCTGAACCTGAGGAGGGCACTGGGGGGTCAGACTGCTGCTCTCTGGTACCTCAGCTGCCTTTAAAAGAAATGACTTGAGTTGAGCTCTGCATGGGGGACATGATAGTAGATTGAGGTGTTCCTGAATGTAATCACACACTCACCCGTAAAGATAATGAGCAAGGGGAGGCAGAGACAACATAAGCTGCATATATTACACTTAGTATGTGAAAGATTAAATGAGCAAATGAGAAGAGAGAAAGAAAAGATATGCTCTGAAACACAAGAGAGAAAGAAGGAAACAGCACACAGGAGGGAACGTCTATTCAAGGTTAATGAGCAGGCTTCCTCTTCCTCATGAATTATTCACTTCAGCTACCTTTAAGCATTGTGCTGCCACCACATTAACTGATAAAGGTAAGAGTAACACATGTACAAGCAAGCGAGTGAAAAAGCGAATGGTAAAAACAAACAGCACACCAGATTAACGGCAGTGTTTATTCTGAAGGCCCCCTCCACCCGAGTGTGCTATTTTTCAACCTCAGCCGAATCATTAAATGCTCTCTGTTCCCCCTAGAGCCAAGGGTGAAGTATGTGTGACGAAGCATAACCTTTTATCAGTAAGGAACCAGACCTTGAAAATACTTGAAAGTTTGCAGAACAGTAAAAAAAGTGTTGATAAAGGATGGATTACGCAGATAATGATGATGACATATAGTATCCAAATTCAGCTGTTCGCTCAAACTCTCCACATAGGCTACTGAGCAAACTTGGTTTTCATTCGTATTTTAGCAAATTAGCAATCAATTTATAATCAATTATTACATGAGTTCAACCTATCAAAAGTAATTTCCCATGTTTCAACTGTGTTCACCAAAATTAAACAAGAAAAGTAAGAAAACAAGACCAAGATTCTACAGTGACGCTAGCAGCTAACACCTAGCTAACACTAGCTAACACCACACTGTCAAAGTACTCTTGTCAGGTATAGTCCTGCATTATATAAGTCAAAGTATGTAGTTTCTTCAAAGGTAAAATTACTCAGTTCATAATAATATACCCTATGAATGTTATATTGCATAGAGATAGCTTCATTCCATTCCAAAAAATGGAATAACAGTAAATCTTGAGTGGAAGTAGGCTATAAAGTGGCAAGAAAATAAAATGCCCAAGTAAAGTACCGGAATCTATTTGTTCTGAAGTAGGCCTACATAATTGAACACTTTCCTCTCTTAACGTTAACATTCTTAAATTCTAAATTCTATCTGATATTTGGCATGGTTAACCAGGTTCATTGGGTGTCAGCATGCTAACTGACACAAAGTATAATATTGCTGAAAATTGATTGTAAACCTCAGCATTAGACACATTATGATGATAAGTGTGTGGAACGACTGACATTGTACATTCACTAAAGTTAAACGTTAACTCGTTAAAAGTGGTGCTGCCTCGATATAGCTTTCAGCCATCTGAAAGCCATTGCATGTTTTCATCCCACATCAGTCAACGTTATAAGAAGAAACACCTTTGGCAGCACAATCAGCCTTGAGTTTATGTGGATAAAGCTTTTCTCTTCCTTGGAAAACTTCCCAAGCATTGTCATGGTAAATTGGAGTTGTGATTGAACACAAATGGATTGGAATGAAGTCTTGGACGGTTGTGTTGTTTTGTAAGCATTCCTGTGTAGATGTTGTTCGTCTAGTTTGAAAATAAATGTATTTTCAGCAAGTTTTAGTTGAGGATTTGTTGCAAAGAAACATCTACTGTGTTGCTGTCTGCTACCAGACTTCATGGTGCTGATGGAGTATTAAAGCTCTCCAGGATGATTTCCACACACTTTCGCTTTGACTTACCAGACACAATAGCCCAGATATCATGTCTGAGCCTGAAGTTATTTTTTCACTTTTATAACTGACCTTATTGCAGATTGCTTATTGTCCCAGATATGACAGGAAGCAGTCAGGAGACTGACCGTGCTATAGGTGTGTCATTTGACTTTTTATTCCAAATTCTAATGGGCTGCACCAGTCTTGACTTTGATTGAAGGGACTGAACTAAGGCTGAACAATTGTAAATTATTGAAACTTTTTGGATATAGCATTATTATTATAACTATTGTGGTACTGTCACAACCTACACATGGTTTTCTAAAGATTTAAAGAGACCCTATTCTGCAGATTTTCAGGTTCATATTTAGTGTCTCCACTGTGACATGTCTCCATGCTTTAATGTTCAAAAAGCTCTTTATTTTTCTCACACTGCCTGTGCTGCAGCACCTTTTCTCACCCTCTGTCTGAAACCAGAGCCCGAGTCTGCTCTGATTGGTTAGCATTTCAGGCCAGGGGGGGGGAAGACCTACATGCACACATTCCTATAAAACATACAATAGGAAAGGCAATAGCCAAAAAGCATACTAGGGACTCTTGAAATCAAACCATGATAATTTAAATATACATTTAACTAATATGAGAATAGTATTGAAGAATTGATCATTCCCAGATCAAAATTGGAGTACAATTCGCAATAAGTTATTTCTTTCGTGCAGCCCCAGAGTGATCACTGCATGAATCATTTATTTTGGGTTTTCTACAAGACTTAATTTAAAACTAATGGCAAGGATTGGGATTGACTTTGAAAATTATGTTTTGTTCAACCTTGTTAGAGAAACCCAAATTACATCAACTATGAATCAATGTCATATAGCAATGAGATATGAAAAAGATTTGTTTCTCTTTAATGTCTTAAAATTATCAGATCATCTGGATGCACTGCATTATGTGCCTTATACCTCTGTTTCTGACCCTCTTGCAAATGCTATATCCCAAAGTACAGACCCCACAACGCAATAAAAGAAATGCAGTAGAGCCAGAACCTTGAGGTAATGCTAAGGGCATATGCAGACTATGACTCTGACTATGCATGTCGCATATTGAGTCTGGGATTTAGAGAAATCTCTTTGGATATTAGACTGTTGCACAGCATCCTGAGGCTCAGAGTAGGAGGCACAGGAGTTTTGTAAAAAGCACAGTATGTATATCAGGCTATAATACCGGTGCAATATCAAACGGATTGGGAAGACAGCATGGGGAATTACAGATGTTTTTAACTTTGAAAGGATAATGAAGAAAAGTCAACTCAAAGGTTCACTGAAAGGTATGTGTGTGTGTGTGTAACCAAATAATACTGACTCAATGCATGACCAGTGAGGGGAATATTTGAGGTAGCATGAAATAAAGTGAAAAACAGTAAGGTCCTGACACTGAAAATGGACCACATTAAATATTTACAGTGATAATGGTTATGGTGCTGCACTCTGCACTTGTGAAATGTGTTGAGACTTACTGAAAGCAGTCTCTCTGAGTGGAGACGTTCTTCAGGTACTGCTTCAGAGCCTCGCAGAAGTCGCCCAGCTTCTTCTGGGTCACCACCATCTCCGTACGGATCAGCAGCAAGGACTGCAGAGGAAGAGGGACATGGAGGTCAATTCATGCTGATATTTCATTAGTATGAAGCCATTGTGTTTGTGACGAGCAGACCGATGTAAATACAAACATATACAGTGTGAGGTTCTGTATGAAACAATTAAGATTCAGCCGACTTAATCATTGCCTTTTTTGTCTTTATTGGCTGACATTTGCTTTTTTTTTTAGGTTTTATTTAGTTTTTCTATATTGTCTTTAACTCAGGGGTCTCCACTCTCCAACACTTCAATCGCGAGCTACCAGTAGCGGTTCACAGACTGTGTTCAAAGAATCCGAGGACAATAAATGCACATCTTCCCATTTCAATTTAATCGAAAACACAAGCCCTTTCTCATTTCCCAGTTTGCGCCTCCTCGGTTCCTGGCGTCTTAGTCTTGCCCACAGGAGATGCGAGTCGAGGAGAGGGAACCGAGGAGAGATAGGTGAAGCAACAGGCATTTGGAAACATTGGAAATCCTCTCCTCGGAGTGGTCATTTTAAAGCGACGTCCATTAATGATGACAGGTGGTACAGTGACATCCTCTGTCCAATGGTTTGATAAACCGCTGTATTTGATCAACTCTGTCTGATTGGCATAACAGTGTTTATGACAACTTACAGTATTGCATCGTTCACACGGCGGCGTGCGTTGAAGCTTGCCGGTGGGCGTATTTGAAACTCGACCAACAACCAATCACATGAATCTCCCGCCCCGGACACACAAGCACACGGTTTCATTGGCTAGAGCTTGTACTGGCATATGATTTGATTGGCTGACGCTTCCGTCGAAGCTTCAAAAGTTGAACATTGCTCAACTTTTGAAGCGAGCAACGCGAGCAAAGCGAAGCGACAGAACCAGAATGCAGTTAGGCAAAGCGTGACGTCACCCCATGCAAAGTGAATGGGCAGAAGCGTTGAAGCCTCAACGCACGCCACCGTGTGGACGGGCCGTAAATATTTACTATAATTCCATTCACAATGTGGTATAATGAGACAATAACAGGCTGCAGATTCAGACAGGGGCCAGTATGATTTGACTGAGGGAGAAATATTTTTCATAACATGAGATGAACGGAGTTAATTATGGAATATCCTGTAGACATGCTAAATAATGACATCAATATAGGATTTCAGATTCAATCTATTATCAAAGCATTAATAGATGCTTCTAGAAGACGTAGTATAAAGTCCACAGATGGAGATGGGGTAGATCTTTGACCTGAAGATATTTGGTTTATATTCCCTGATGCAGTGTCACTCTCTGTCCTGCTAAATGTGGCTCCTCCCACTAATCAGGTGTGCTGTTCTCCACAGGTGTAAGGGGGCTTGGCCTGGGAAACAAAGTAAGAGGAAATTGATTGGAAGAGATTTGTCTGTTTGGAGACAGAACCGGGAAGTTTGATTCCTTACTTGATGTTCTTTCTTCTTTTTGCCATGCATTGTTTTTAATGTATTGACTTTTTGATTGACATTAGGCTTATTACTTTTGACTATTAAGTCGCAATAGAAAGACTTTTTTTATAGTTGGAAAATTCTTGTGGACTAGGAATTGGACATTTCCCCAGTTACTGTTGTATGTGCTTGTGTTAAGGGCAGTTATCTCATAATAAATTGTCATTGAGTTGCCACTAAAAAAAATTCTAGTAGAAAATAATTCCTAAATTGGGATTAATAAAGTACATCTTATTTTCTATTATCTTATATTTTCCCTGGTTGGTTTGGTTGGTTTGCTTCCAATTTATAGGACCCAAATGGGTGGATCCAAAACTCTGAAGTTGCACTAGAGGGAATGCTGTTTGTGTCAGTAAAATCTCCCTTATTTGAACTTTTGTTACGTTATTTGCGTACCATCCAACACATGCACAAACTGGCTCTGATCTGTCATTAGCTCGCATGGTTTTTCATATCATTGCTACGCTGACGACACTCAATTCATTCGGTCTTTTCCCCGTTCTGAAACCCAGGTCGTCGCACGCATCTCTGCTTGTCTAGCAGACATCTCTCAGTGGATGTCTGCTCATCACCTCAAGCTCAACCTTGACAAGACTGAACTGCTTTTCCTTCCGGAAAAAGATTGTCCCACTCTTGACCTAACAATCAACATCGGCACCTCTGTTGTTTCCCCGACTCAGACTGCAAGGAATCTGGGTGTGACCCTAGATAACAAACTGTCCTTCACTGCAAACATCGCTGCTACAACCCGCTGCTGCAGATACACTCTTTACAACATCAGGAGGATACGTCCCCAGCTGACCCAGAAAGCGACGCAGGTTCTGGTCCAGGCTCTCGTCATCTCACGCCTAGACTACTGCAACTCCCTCCTGGCTGGTCTACCTGCATGTGCCATCCGACCTCTGCAGCTCATCCAGAATGCAGCTGCTCGTCTGGTCTTCAACCTTCCTAAATTCTCCCACACCACACTGCTCCTCCGCTCCCTTCACTGGCTTCCGGTAACTGCTAGAATCCACTTCAAGACAATGGCACTTGCGTACCATGCTGCAAATGGATCTGGCCCTTCCTACATCCAGGACATGGTTAAACTGTACACCCCATCACATGCACTACGCTCTGCATCAGCCAAACAGCTCGCTGCACCCGCACTGCCAGGGGGACCCAAGTTCCCATCAGCAAAAACACGTCGGTTTGCTACCCTGGCTCCAAAATGGTGGAATGAGCTCCCCATTGACATCAGGACAGCAGAAAGCCTACACATCTTCCGGCGCAGACTGAAAACTTATCTCTTTCGACTCCACTTCGAGCAATTAAAAAAGAAAAAAAGAAAAAGGAAAACCCTTATATACTAACTAATATTATATACTAACTAAGCACTCATATACTAAATAAGCACTCATATACTAACAAAGCACTTATATAGTAACAAAGGACTGGCTTATCTAAAGCCAGTTCAGATGCACTTAAAATGGTTTGGCTCTATGAAACCTGATGTACTTATATGATTCTGTTTGTATCTTCTTGGTCGAATGCACTTATTGTAAGTCGCTTTGGATAAAAGCGTCAGCTAAATGCAATGTCACGTAATGTAATGTATAAGTAGTTTTGCTGCCTTAAAAGGTTGTTGCTGGAAATTCGTAGTGGAACGCATGAAAAACAAATCTGCATAACATGTTAGCATTCTGCCGTTAGCATTGAAGTGAAGATCACTTTCTGTTGCTCTGGGTTCCACTGCAGCTTTATGATAGCATCTGCATCTACCAGGGGCTTGCAACTTTCAATCATTTTTTAATCTGAAGCTCAAGTGGTGCATCCCCTACAGCTACAAACAATTTGTCTGATGCTTCATTGAAAAGGGAGGGCGTGGGGCAGGGTGTTCACAGTTGCTGTTTTGGGAGGTAAAAGCTAAAAATGCATTATCTCACACAGCCTATGGAAATGTTTTTACCCAGTGTCTAAGACTATGAACATGAATCTTAACTCCCTTCCTATGCCTAGCATGTAACAGAAGCTTCAGCAAGTTAAAGTTGTGTGTAGCTGCATTTGTGTGCCTGTTGGATTAGTAACTGACAGTGTACATTTGTAGCCTTGAGGTTGATTTTTAATTATTTGTATAAATCCCACTTGTAACAAGAAAAACCAAAGAAGTGCTGCTGCGCTGGTTTTGATCTGATAAGATTAGCTGCTTTCTTCAGCTTTTTATGTGCCTTTGTTACTGAAGCTCGATACATTACAATTAAAAATTCATCCACTCTGACCTAGATAACTCCAGCAGTGTCTCACTGAGACTTCACAATACACATTTAGGCACATTCACATAGACACTCCAATAACACATACACGTGATGTGTAAATAAAGGTTTCCATTTTCAGATAATTCTGATTAATGAATTTATAAAGAGCCAGAGCTTTCCTGCAGTTGACTTTTAAAGGTTACGACTTAAATACTTTCCCTTGACCTGCCATGTCTTCTTCTTCCCTGATAGTTATTTGCAACATTACCAGTAATGACTTGCGAGTCCTTGGGAGGCCTTCAGCTGTGAAATACCTTTGGAGTTCCAGGTTCTTTTTTAAGTGGTCAAATGGGTTTTTTGAGTCTTATCAGTAGTCAGTTGCAGAGTCCATCCAGAGTTCTGTATTCTTTACACTAAATAAGGCATTTGGCTGCGAGTCATCTCATCACAGCTCTGAAAATACTTGAGCCATGTTTTTTTTGTTGCATGGTAGGGCACAACTCTACTCAGCTTGGTGCGACTGTTTTAGTTTTCAATCAGAAACAGTTGTGAATAGGGGCCTGGTATCTTTTTTAGATACTGCAGAGACCGGAGTGGTTAGAAAGGATTGTCAACCTCCCATCGTCAAGGGCAGTGCGTACTAGCCATCTCTGTGTTTTGGATGATCAAAGAACTGCCAGTAGTCCAGGGCGGCTGGCACGTATTAATACATTTATTTTTCCATTAATTTAACATCATCCTTTGAGTTTCACACTCAGAGCACACAGCGCTAATGCAAACATTTGGTACTTATTCGCCAAGTAATGATATATTCAAAAGTATTATGAGTTAGGATTAGGACATTGTACACTGCTGCTGCAGACACTTGCAGTTCCATGACTAGTGCAAGGGGGTGTACATTTTCATTTTAGTTTTCAATGTACCAAAGCCCATGCACAGATCTAATGAGGATATGGCCAGCTGTGCGTATAAGACACTGCCCTCTGTGGCGAGGCACATCTCAGAGGCTGCAGATTTCTTTTTGCCCTTAAATGCTGAAAGAGTTTCAAGAAGTGATGAAATGTGCAATGTATACATCGTTAAATCACACTGCATAACCAGCAACAACCGTATGAGTGCACGCAGGCACCCGTCATAGGTACTTAAACAAATAGCGCTAGACCCCGTGTTGGTTGGCGGGCTGGGTCAGAGCCCAGGGCTGTTTTCAGTCCCAGTTTTTTTTAATATATTAAACTACCGTAGATAACTGCATTTAAAAAAAAAATTTAAAAAAAAGTTACTCTTTGCATATTTAAAAAATTGGCAGCT